TAGACCAGGCTGGCCTCAAACTCACAGAGATCTGCCTGCCTCTGCCTCCCAAGTGCTGGAACTAAAGGTGTGTGTGATACCACACCCAGCTTATTTGTTTTTGTGTTTTTTTTAAATTTGTTCATTTTGGGGTTTTTTTGTTTCGTTTTTTTGTTTGCCTTTTTGAGACAAGGTCTTCCTGTAGACCCAGCTGGCCTGGAATTCACTATGTAGACCAGGCTGGCCTCAAACTCACAGAGATCCACCTGCCTCTGCCTCCTGAGTGCTGGGATTAAAGGTGTACACCACCACACCAAGCATTATTTGTTGTTGTTGTTTTTTAAACTTAAAAAAAATTTATTTATTATTTTTATTTTATGTGTATGCATGTATTACCTGTGTGTAGGTAAGTGAACCCATGTTGTGCAATGCCTGCGGAGGTCAGAAGAGGTTATCAAATCCCCTGGGACTGGAGTTACGGACAGTTGTTAGCTGCCATGTGGGTGCCGGCATTCAAACCTGGGTCTTCTGCAAGAAAAACTAGTGTTCTTAACCGCTGAGCCATCTCTCCAGCCCCTATTTGTTGTTTTTTAAAAAATGTTTTACCTTAAAATTTTTTTAATCTTTCTTCTTTGATTTATTTATTTTTGTGGGGCTTTTGGCTACTCTAACATTCCCCCCTCTGAAGAGGTAACCCTAAAGTCTTTTAAGGATTAATACAAGCTCCCAAATACTTTTGACATTTTTGGCCTTTGGAATAGAGTGTGTTGCTAAGAGGCCCAAGGATATTTTGACTTTTAGCCAAGAAACTGGCTGCTTTTCTTTGGGGTCTTTTTACCCTAACTGCCTAGCCAATTCCTACCTCTTATTCTTATCACACCATCCTCTGAAGGGGTTACCCAAATTGCCAAAAGGGAATCGGGATGCCGACCGCTCTGACTTCTTCCATGCTGAACAGGGACGTAGGGTGAGGCAATTGGAGTACCCCTTCGGTGGGTCTATCTAAAAGAGTCCCAAATTGCACATTACCTTAAATGTTTGAAATTTATTTTTATGTGTATGCATGTTTTCCCTGCATGTGTGTAAGTGAGCCCATGTATGTAAATGCACAGGGGCCACAGGTCCTGCAAGAATCACCAGTGCTCTTAACCACTGAGCTATCTCTTCAGCCTTCTTATTTGTTTTGTTTGTTTTTGAGATAGGGTCTCCCTGTAGCCCCAGCTGGCCTACAACTTGCTATGTAGACCATGCTGGCCTCAGAGATCCACCTGCCCCTGCCTCCAGAATTCTGGGATTAAAGGCACCAGGCCCAACACCACGCCTAATTCTTTTTCTGCTTTCTTTTTCTCTTTTTTTCTCAGTTATTTGATTTTTGAGACAGGTCTTATATATCCCAGACTGGTTTTAAATTCCTTTTATAGTCAAGGATGACCTTGAACGCCTGGTCCTCTTGCCTTTACTTCCCCAGTGATGGGATTATGGATGTGCCTCACCATGCCTGGTTATATGCTATTGAATTGAACTAGGAAAGCACTCTACCAATTGGGCTACATCCCCAGTTCCTGCTTTTGTTTTTCAGATAGGGTCTTGTTATATAGTCCAGAGTGGGCTCAAACTGGGCAATCATCCTGTTTCAGCCTCCTGAGTACTGGGATTACAGGCATGTACCATCATGCCTGAATCTGGACTACTGTTATGATCTCTCTCATGCACATACTCCTTTGCCTTTAGCCATTAGGTGATGTAGTCAGGGAACCCTCACTGGACCTGGTATCGTGCTATTTGGACTCTCATCATCCATGAGCAAAATGAACTTTTTAAGTTACCCAGTATTTTGTTATAGCAATGGAAAAATAAAATAATATATAGGGCAGAGCACATGGATAGGCTACCAGAAAGGACTCCAACCTCAAACATTGGAAGTATGAGTCACATGTACATTGAAAGCCTGGTTCGTATTGAAGGAGAGGTGAGCTGGAAAGAGAATCTACCTTGCTGCCTGCACATTTGAGTTCTGTTCCAGTTCCGGCACCCAGTGACTGCAGGAACTCAGTTGCTTCACCTCTGTGAACCTCAACCTCCTTATCTATCAAAGCGGTTTAATGGTGGTAAGTGCTGTGATGATCAGATGAGATAACCTATCTGGGACTGCTCTGTGAACTGTGGGATGGGTCATCTTTCAACCTGGAACAGAGTCTGTCCCTTTGGTAGACAAAGCAGCAGACTGCTGGGGTAGACCATGTGGGGACAGGGTCCTTTGACCCTGACAAATCTTGACCTGTACACACAGCCAGGGAGTGTGTTCTAACCTCAGCTCAAAAACCCACACAGCCTGTTCCCCTATGTAGAGCTGTGTACCCCAAAATAGGAGGAGCCACTTCTTGGCTTCTTGGAATGTCCAGCTTGTTCATAATTTAGCTGCTAGTCCACGTAATTACCTTTCTTTGCTTGTGAGCTAAGAGCAATAGTAGTTCCCAATAACTAGAGGCTTTCTAAGGCTGAATTATAATGAGTGTCCTGTGGAATTACACACTGCATTAACAGCAAATGAGTTCATTAGAAATTCATTAAGCGTGATTCCTGTGGCTGCCACAGGAATTAATCACGGTTAGCCAACAGCGGGAGAGTGGGTGATGGTAACAGCAGGCAGAGTGGGAAGATCTTTTGGCATCTGACTTTGGCCTGAAGCAATAGTTTTTAAGGATCATGGGTAATGTTTGGGGTGTAAGTTTGGAGGTGAAGTTACTTGAATATTATTGGGCCGGTCTGTACTCTTGCTCCCCATTCCTCCTGGGTACAGCCTGGCTTGGAACTAGACCTGAAGATACGGAGGTAGGCCATTGTCTTTTTTCAGTCCTGAGGAGTTGGGAAGACATAACGGGTACTCATCTGGTAACCTGCCTAGTATCGGTTTGCTCTCCTTCAATGGAATCCCACTATGTTCCTTAGAGAGATCCTGTTGCCATAGGGTCTGCTTGGGACTGTCAATCAAGCCCCCCCCACCTTCCCCACTTCTAGATGGGGAGGCTTGCCCTTACCTAGGCCAGGATCTCATGTAGCCTAGGCTGGCCTCCAACTTAATTTAATTGTGTAGTTAAAGATAACCTTGGACTTCTGATCCTCTTACCTCCATTTCTGGAGTGCTGAGTTTACAGGTATGGGCACTCACAGCTGGCTTATGCTACGTTGGGAATCAAACCCAGGGTCTCATGCATGCTAGATAAGCACTCTACCAATTGAGTATATCCCCTGCCCCCTTCCTATATTTTCTTTTTAAAATACTTTATTTTTTGTGTGTATGAGTGTATTGCCTGTATGTATGTAAATGTGCCCATGTCATGGAATGTCCACAGAACTCAAAAGAGGGCATCAGATCCCCTGGAACTGGAGTTACAGATGGTTGTTAGCCACCATGTGGGTGCTGGGAATCGAACCCAGGTCCTCTGCAAGAACAGTCAGTGTTCTTAACCACTGAGCCATCTCTCCAGTCCCTTGTATTTTCTTAGTAGTGAATGTTTGTTAAGTTCTGACTATGCTTAACTTAACGATAGCTTGATTTAGGAGTTTTGAGTTTGGTTCAAAAGTGATTTGAATACAATAGAAACCATATCTATACTTTTTTTTTTAAAGAATGGTTCTAGGGACCCAAACCCAGGGCTGCTCTTATGCTAAGTATCCCTACACCCTACCACTAAACTATGCCTCTAGCCCCGCACTTCAAATTTTGATTTTTTTTCTGTGCTAGTAATATACCACATAATATTCATCATCTTCCATTAGTTTATAAGCCCTGAACACCTACCCCACTAACCTCAAACATTACTGCCCATGTTTGTACCTAGTCCTCAATAAAGGTTTTGTTTTGTTTTCTCTGTATCGTGGTATGTCTCATTCATGCATGCCCTTTTCCTAACCTAACTGACCAACACTAGGACCCTGGTTAAATTGTAATGTATCTTTACCATGGATGACAATGTAGCTATTAAAAGTGATGGCTGTGTGTGGTGGTGCACACTTGTAATCCCAGTACTCAGAAGACTGAAGCAACAGGAGGATTTCAAGTTGGGGGCCAGCCTGGACTCCATAGTGAGTTCTAGGTTACAGAGCAAGAGTTTATCCCAAAGGGGGGAAATAAAAACAAAAAACCCAAAAAAACCCAATCCAACAGGCATGGTAGCACATAACTAGAATCCCAGCACTTGGGAGGCTGAGGCAGGAGGATCATGAGTCTGAGGCCAGCCTAGGTATATCAGTTATCCCTTTCTCATCACTGTGACAAAATACATAAGAGAAACAACATAGGAAGGTAAAGACTTATTTCAGTTCATGGTTTCAGGGGATCTTGGTCCATTATGGTGAAAAAGCATGGAGAGAGGAGTGGTTCAGTCTGTTGTGATGGGAGATCAGGGATTAGAGAGGGGGCCAGGGTAGGTATAAGCCTTCAAGCTAGATGCTTCACCACAACTGTTCACACAGAGCAGATGAGGACAGAGAGAAAGCTGGCCAGAAGCAGGGGTGGGTGTAACCTCCAAAGACCTTTCCTTAGTGGCCAACTTCCACCATCCTGATTCCATGTACTAGAGATGCCAAAGCCTTCCAAAATAACACCATAAACTGGGGATGGAGCATTTAAAACGTGAACCTATGGGGGACATTCTAGACTCAAACCATAATACTAGGCTGCATAGTAAGTTCCAGGCCATCCTGGGCCTCAGAACAAGCCTCTGAGTGGTTGGAGTTGGGCATCCCTGACTGGACTGGTGGGAGTATGGTTGGAGAGTTGGTATGAAGGTGAAGTTTATTCTACAGCGGTTAAGGGCAGTGGGAATGGGACTAAGTCAGTGTGTGTGTGTGTGTGTGTGTGTGTGTGTGTGTGTGTGTGTAAGAACAAGTCTAATGACACCTGTGAATGAAAATGGAGTAATGAAATTCATTACTTTGCTAACCTCAAATCAGAACTTTAAGAGAGAGAGACAGACAGACCGACCGACCAGAGGTTTCATTTAGTTCTCTCATTCCAGGATCACCCATGTGAAGAATGTCTCAGAAAGTCAAACTGATCAAGGAGCTGCTAGCTGACATTTCACATGCCCATGTGAGGCCCTGGATGGGGACAGTGAAAGGACACCCAGGAATCCTCCTTTGACACAAAGCACCCAGCTCCCCACCTCCCAGGTAATCCTCCCAGGATAGTGGTGGCTGTTTGACACAGGAGCCAGAGTCCAGATGGGAAGTTGAGGTGCCCAAAAGGATTAGCCTTGGGGCCATTCTTATCTCCATTGGGTATCCATAAAACCACCCTGGGATGTGGTTGGCAGATGGAGTTCATTGACCCTTCCTGGGAGATTCTCCGAGTGTTCAAGCAGATGAACTCCAGAAAAAGAAGGATGGTATGGGTGTGAGTGGGTGGGTGCCGGTCAGATATTTCATGGACTCCCAGGGTGGGAAGAAGATGCAGAGTCAGGCATCCTGTGCCCATGTTGTCCTTCCCCACACCTCACCACTCCCATCCTGCTGAGCAGCAGCTCAGGAGAAGCCAGTTTTCCTCATATTGGAGAAATCACTGGGAAGGGGAGCTAGGTGGAGAGGGGCTGGAGAGGTAACTTTTCCTCATGCCACTTCTGTCCATATTCCCTGGTACCACTGCTCTGAACTTCTCTGCTCCAGCATGTTCTGAAGATTAAATAAGATAAGCCATGCAAAGCACTCAGAGTGGCTTATGCATTAATACCCAGTACCTGTTAGCTATTATGTCATTGTTATTTCTCATTGTTACTATTCCTGAGGAGAAATTCTCACCTCACTGTAGAAGGGAGTGGAAACCACCACAGCCTTTCTGAAAGGCAGTAATCGATATTAATATTTTATTATTTCTTTAAAAATGGTAAATTTTACAGTCACAGCAGCTCAGTGACTCTTCTTACAGAAGACCTGGGTTTGAATCCCACCCACATGGTGGCTAACAACTGTCCGTAATCCCAGTTCTAGGGGACTAGACACCCTCTTCTGACCTCCATGAGCATTGCATGACATGGGTGCACATGCATACATGTAGGCAATATACTCATACACATAAAATAAAAATAATGCATAAAATATTTTTTTAATTGTAAATTACATTTTATTTGCGTGTGCTCACACACGCACACATGCATGCCACAGTGTGAGTGAGTGTGGGTCAGAGGATAACTCTGGGGAGTCTGTTCTTTCCTTCCACCATGCAGGTCCTAGATATTGAACTCAGGACATCAGGCTCAGTGACAAACACCTTTACTGGATAAGCCATCTTGCCAGTCCTTTTTATTATTTCTTAAATTAATCAATTAAAATTATCTTGAGTCAGGAAATTGCTCTGCAACCCAGGCTATCCTTTATCTTGTAGCAATCCTGCATCAACCTCCCAAGTGCTAGGATTAAAGTGAGCCACCATGCCTGGCAGAAATGTCTTTATCTTTTCTTTCTTTCTTTCTTTCTTTCTTTCTTTCTTTCTTTCTTTCTTTCTTTCTTTCTTTCTCTTTCCTTCTTTCTCTCTCTCCCTCCCTCCCTCCCTTCCTTCCTTTCTTTTTCTTTCTTTCTCTCTCTTTTTTGAGACAAGGTCTCACTATGTAGCCCTGGCTGATCTAGAATTCACTATGGAGACCAGGCTAGCCTCAAACTCAGAGAGACCCACCTGCTTCTTCTGCCTCTTGAGTGATGGGATTAAAGGTGTGTGTCACCATACCTAGCTGAAATTTTTTCTTCCTTCTTTCTTTCTTTCTTTCTTTCTTTCTTTCTTTCTTTCTTTCTTTCTTTCTTTCTCTTTCTTTCTTTTTCTTTCTTTCTTTTCTTTCGTCTTTTTGAGACAAGGTCTCCCTGAAGCTCCAGCTGTCCTAGAACTCACTATGTAGACCAGGCTGGCCTTGAACTCACAGAGACCTGCCTGCCTCTGCCTCCCGAGTCCCAGCTGAAATTTCTTAATCAGCAGTAGTAATGATGAAAATGCTACTGAGCACCTTTGTACATACTTTGCATTGCCAGTTCTGTGTGACCATCTCATAAGCCAAGCAGGCATATGTCACCCCAAGGACAGGGGCCCCCATGTGTGAAGTGGAGTCAGGGAAGATGGAGCAGGAAGCAGAAGTCAAGAATTGGAGTTCCAGCTCTGAAGTGTGAACAAAGTGAAACCCATCAAACCCACAGCCCAGTGCCTGGCACAAAGTAGGCATCCAGGCAGCTCAGCAGCCCTTCCTCCATGGGCTCTCCATGGGTCCACAGGCACTGTATTGCCCTGGTGTCATCGTCTGTGCCCTTCTTGGGTCTGTTCTCCTTTAGGGACTCTTGGCTGTGCCACACTCATTCTTTTTTCTTTTTGAATTTAATTAATTAATTAATTTATTTATTTATTTATTTATTTTTATTTTTATCTTTTTGAGACAGGGTCCCCCTGTAGCCCCAGCTGTCCTGGAACTCACTATGTAGACCAGGCTGGCCTTGAACTCACAGAGATCTGCCTGCCTCTGCTTCCCAAGTGCTGGGATTAAAGGTGTGCACAACCATGCCCTGCTAAATTTTATTATTTTTATTTTATTTTATGTGTATGAATATATTGCCTGCATGTGTATAAGTGTGCCTGTGTCATACAATGCCCAAGGAAGTCAGAAGAAGATGTCAGATGCCCTGGAACTGGAGTCAACAGACAGTTGTTAGCTGCCATGTGGGTGCTGGGAATCAAACCTGAGTCCTCTCCAAGAGCAACCAGTGCTCTTAACTGCTGTACCATTTTTTCCAGCCCCTCCCCATTCATTTTTATCTTTCATCCTGGCCCTTCCTGCTGCCTCAATCTAAACTATCTCCTCCTTTGTTCTCAGTCTCCAACCGTCCTGCTTCACTACACAGACCTGTATTTGCCCTTTAAAATTCTTTATTTATTATCATGTGTATATGTTGTGTGAGTATGTATGAACAATGAGCCATGGCATGTATGTGGAAGACACAGGGCACTTTTGTGGAGTCGGAGCTCTCCTTCCACCTTTACATGGGTTCTGGGCATCAAACTCAGGTCATCAGGCTCATGTAGCAAGTGCTTTCCCCACTGAGACACCTCACGGGTCTTCAAGCCTTGTATTGAATACTACCCTCTCTTCAAAGCCACGCCAGCCCATGCTGGACACCACAGCTCTTCATGCCCCAGGTCTTGGGAAACATCACATCTGGCTTATACACTTTACATGTACGTCTTGGGTTTAGCATGGCTTGAGAAGTCCCCTGGGTTTAAAGGCACATGCCTCGTTCTGGGTCTCCACATGCAGCTCAATGTACAGTGGTAGTAGATGGATGAGAGAATGAGTGAATGAAGAGTATGGGGGAAGGGCAGGGTGCCAACGGATGGAGGGTGGGATGGACTGATGTGACTCTGCACCCCTATGGCAGTCCTGGCCTTGGCTTTGCTGAGAATGGCAGTGGGACAGCAACTGGTATTCCCCAGGGTGAATAACCTTGGGGCTTTACCCCTTCAGGTCCTGCCCACATCATAAAACAGCAAGTGCCTCCTGATTGGGGCAGGAGGGTGATGTGGGGTGACATAGGGGCTGAGCCTAAGGCAGTTGGGAGCGTTTATAAGCTAGAACTTCAGATCCCTCAGCACTAACCCTTTTCCTCAGCTCACTGCTCTCTGCCAGCAGCATGGCCTTCAACGGCAAGTTCGAGTTTGAGAGTGAGAAGAATTATGATGAATTCATGAAGCGCATTGGTGAGTGAGTTCCTGTGTGTCCCTTCCTGGGCTGGCTGGTCACAACCAGCTCTGGGTTAGGAACCCAAACCTTTGGGGTAGAGCAGGGTAGAACTTCATCTGTCCACCTGTCCATCTGTCCGTCCATCTGTCAGTCCATCCGTCCGTCCATCCATTCATCCATCCACACATTTGCTGAGCACTACTCTTTTCTTTCTCTAAAGATAAAAGTTGTAAGATATTATTTGATTTTAAAATACTTAGAAAATCTTAGTATCTTTACTGATGGAAAATTTGAGGCCCAGACAAGTTGTTATTAGTTCAACAATGCATCGCTAACGATTGGTGAAGTGGAAACTTGGTTGGTGAAATAGAGTCTTTATGTTTACTCATTTGAATGTTTATTATTGTTGTTGTTGATATTATTATTTGCAGCAGAGTCTCATGTAGTCTAAGCTGTTCTCAAAGTCACTATGTAGCCGAGGATGATTTTGAACTTCTGATCCTCCTGCCTCTACCTTCAAAGTGTTGGGATTACAGGTATGAGCCATCATGCCTCGTTGGTTTGTGCAGTGCTGGGGCTCAAACCCAGGGCTGTGTGCATGCTAGACAAGCATTCTACCAACTGAACCATGTCCCCAGCCCTATTCAAATTTATTGAACACCTGTTATATGCAAGGGCTATCCCCAAGTTTTTGATGAAGCACCTCAGGCATGACTTACCCAAGTCATTAGCAGAGTTCATTAGCATCCAGACTCCTCCGATGTGTGGTGTCACCATATCTTGCCAGGGAGAGATGACCAAGAGTATAGAGACCAGGTTTAACAAGATGCTTCACTCAGTCATTCAACAAATGCACTATGTTATAGTGGGTAGAGATACCAGCTATTTTATCTTGATTTATGACATTGTTCTGTTGTAAGGTGTCACGGAGACAATAGATCTCAGAGTCCTATTGAAACATCAGTGTACTAGCATCGAGGCTATACAGTTGTCAAGAATCAGGTACAGCTCGGTTGGTAGAGGACTTGCCTAGCATGCACAAGGCCCTGAGTTTGATCACTGGCACTGCATAATCCAGATGTAATAGTGTGGGCCTGTAATCCTAGCACTCCAAGGTTAAGACAGGAAGCTTAGAAGTTCAAGGTCATTCTCAGCTACATATCAAATTCAAGACTGGCCTGGGTATATTAAACCCTGTCTCAGACAAAACAAAACAACCATGTAAAATCTGTGGGTCTTTCTCTTAGTGGCCACCTCTGTTGGGCCAAAGTGGCCCCAAGAGCAGAGCTCTGTCTCCTGAGCCTTGTGTAAAAGCCCCTTTCTGCCTCTGGGTATTCGTTTTATTTACAAAATAGAAGACTCAATCTTGAAGGTCTCATCCATTCTAGAACTTTCTAAACTTAACAAGTTTTTGCTATATTGATATTATATTACTGTCAGAAAATTGGAAGTTACTAGGAAGTACCAAGGAAGTATGAGGAGCTTTATGAGACACAATCATGTTGATTTAATCCTGGTAACAGCTCTGTGAGCTCTGGGCTGCATTGTTCCCATTTTGTGAATGAAAATACCAAATCACAGAGAGACAGTGTCTTGTTCAAGCCACACAGCTCATAGCAGAGGTGGGATTTGAGGCATGTGTTGTCTGTGCCTCGGGCAGTGCACTCAGACCTGCAAGTAAGCCTGCCCCTGGGAAAGAAAGCTCCCTCTCCAATCATCAAGTTTTAAGCAGCCCTTGTGTGGTCTCTCTACCTGTCACTGGGCCCAGGTGTCTCCAGTGATATCATTGAAAAGAAACGTAACTTGAAGATCATCACCGAGGTCCAGCAGAATGGACAGGACTTCATCTGGTCCCACAACTACTGTGGGGGTGAGGTCTTGACCAACAAGTTCACCATTGGCAAAGAATGCGAAATGCAGACCATAGCAGGCAAGAAGTTCAAGGTGAGAACACTGGCTGCCCTTCCCTGTTTCCCCAGACCAACGGCCAGCTTCTTCATTTTAGACATGGCCACTTTCCCTCCGAAGCTGAGGCTTCTCTCTATAATTTAACCTTCACATGAAGAGCTTTCTTATTGGGTAATTTAATGCTGTTTAATGGATGCCATCAATTAACAAGCACCACACTGAGATAAAAATAGCTGATAGTTGCTGAGCATTTAATATAACTTACCACTTCCTGAATAGTTGCTAATCTACCTATCTACCATTTATCTATCATCTATCAATCATTTGTGGATGCACTTATGTGTGGGTACACTCGTGTGTGTGTGTGTGTGTGTGTGTGTGTGTGTGTGTGTGTGTGCCCAAGGTTGACATAAGAGGGCTTTAAGTCCCCTGGGGCTTGAGTCATAAGTTGTTGTGAACAACCTGACATGGGTGCTGGGAACTGAACTTGGGTCCTCTGGAAGAGCAACAAGCACTCTTGGGTATTGGTCTTCTTCTATTGCTTGCCACCTAATTTTTGAGAAGAGTCTCTCACTAAACCTGGAGCTTGCTGTTTCAGCCAGACTGGTTGGCCATGCACCCCCAGGATCTGCCTGTCTCTGTCCCCCAGCAAGGGCAATGGTGGTGGTGGTGTTACTAGGTATGCACTGCTTTACACACTTTTTTTTTTGAGTCAGGGACTCTCTGTGTAACCCTGGCTAGCCTGGAACTCCCTAGTCCACCAAGCTGGCTTCAAACTCAGAGATCCACCTGCCTCTGCCTCCCATAAAGTGCTGGAGTTAAAGACACAAAGCACCATGCCAGGCTTCTCCTGCCCTTTTTTATGTGAGTGCTGGGAATTCAAACCCAGGTCTCATGCATGTACAGTAAACACTTTACCCACTGAGCTATCTCCCTTTCCTTCCCTTTGTTTTGGTACCCTTGTGCAAGCTAAGTAAACACTTTGCCAACTGAGCCATATCTAGCCATACATCTGCCATCTTTTAATAACCTAAGTGATTCGTAGGGGGACTTGGAAAAGGGCTCATATTCAATGCTATGTCTCTCTCCCAGGCCACTGTAAAGATGGAGGGTGGGAAGGTGGTGGCAACCTTCCCTAACTTTCAGCAGACCTCGGAGATCGTGGGTGACAAGCTAGTGGAGGTGAGTGTTCGAGGTTCCAGGATGTTTGGTCTGACTCCTTTTTAGCGCCTAGTCAAGGGATCTCTTAGTGGTAGGTCCTGGACAGATGGCTCTCTTGAGCACCTTGGTGTACACGCACACATTCTCTCTTGTAATTTTTATTTATTTTCATGTGTATATGTGTGTAAGCACATGCATATGGAGGTCAGAGGGCAACTTACAAGAGGACACCATATGAATCCCAGGAATCAAACTTAGGTCACTAGTTTTAGTAGCAAGCACCTTTTCCTGCTGCGTCTTCTTACTGGCCCCTGGTAGTCATTGGGTCTTTACTCACCTAGTCAGACTGGGATTTCTATTCTCAACACATAGGTGAGGAGACTGAGGGAAGGGAAGCTAATGGGATGCACACTGCTTTGATGATGGGCAGGGATGCAGCGAGGCAGTCTGATTCCAGGACTCAACTTAGCCTCCTCAATCTGGAACTGAGGGACCCTTCCCAGAATGTCAGTACAGGAGATGGTCTGAGAGGGTCTCCCATGTGACAGCCGCCACCGCACTCCACTTCCACAAAGCACTTTGTGCCCTTCATACCTGACCTGAGTTTTTCAAAAGAAGCTGGAAATTTTCATTTCTCTGGGTAATCTCCACAGGATTACATGGCGGCAATGCCGCAGTCTTTGAAGTGCTGGCAGGTAGACTCTACATGTCTATAGACTGATGGCCCCCCACTCACACTATGGGAACACAATGGAGGTGTTCACAGGCCCTCCATGTCCCTTCATTTTGGCCCCTGTGTCTCCAGAGTTTTTCCAGTTGGAAGAAATGGGTGTGAGCCAAAAGGGAAAGAATTTTATACCTCCTTCCCTCATTATGAGGCCAGGACGGGACCAGGGCCCCACTGGTGTCCAGTGTAGATCCCCTGTCATACCAACACTTAAGAGACCAAGGCAGGAGGATCTCAAGTTCCAGGTCAGCGGAATGAGACACTGTCCCTCTTTTCTCCCCCAAATCACATGGACACAGAAAAGGGCTGGGGATATTATCTTAGTGGTAGAGCATTCGCCTAGAATGCACAAAGTTCTAGGTTCAATCCTCAAATTCAAATAAGAATTAGAAAATAGATGTAATAGTGTTGAAAAAAGTATAAAAAAACAAAAGTGGGCTGGAAAATTGGTTCAGTAGGTAAAGGTGCTTGCCACCAAGCCTGACGATTTGAGTTGGATCCCTGGAACCCAATGAAAGAAGGGGAGACCTGACTTCCACTAGTCTTCTGACCTGCACATGTGCATTGTGGCATGGGTACTCACATACATAAAAAGAAAAAAAAGTATCTTCTACTCTGGGTGAAAACTGGTCCTTTGGAGGATTTGTTGAGCCCTTTAGATATGTTTCCATGAAATGTCAGCCGGGAAGTTATGATTCCCAAAGCTAAGCTCCCAGGCCTGAAGTATGCAAGGGGACCCCAGAGCAGGAGACTAGGAAGCAGGTTCTTGTCCATGAGGCTTGATCTTCATAAGCTGAACCAACCCTCAGCCTGCTCTATAATGGGAGCAACCTCGTGGGGCTGCTGGAAGGTGTAGATGGAATAATTCGAGGAAGGGCCCGGGAGAGCCAAAAGGAGCAGAGACGGAGAACTGGTACACATGTCCACAGCCCATCACTCTTCTTCCCCCGTTCAGCATTTCACTAATTTCTTGGCTGTGACTGCTGTTACTGACAGGGAATCTAAGCCCCACAAAGTGGGGGACCGAACCCATTCTGTAATGGTGGCCAGCCTTCCTTTGGCTGTGTCCCATGGTCACCTCAGAGCCATTGCCTAGGAGTACAGCACTGACTCCCTCTGTTCTGGTTGCTTCTTTCAGGTCTCCACCATTGGGGATGTGACCTATGAGCGGGTGAGCAAGAGGCTGGCCTGAGCCACTAAGCCAGGCTCCAGTGGAATCTGCCCATTAATAAAACTGCTCCCTGCACAGACACCGCTTGCTCCAGTGTCTTTGTTTCCATTTTCTTGTGCCTTGGAGGCAGCGTCTGGTTGGCTGGGGGTGGGAAAGCTTCCAAGGATGGCTGCACAGGTCAAATGTCAGTGCTGAGGTTCCTATGGGGTCTACCATGGCAGAGAGAGGTGTTAATGTTGAATGTGGATGCAGTATTTCCCATCCCTGGAAAAGGCCGCAGGTGGAGCATGGTGGCACATGTTGGTGAACAACTTGTACCACTGAGAACACCTTGCACCACTGTAATATTTGCAGGCTTCTTCAAAGACACAATTGGGGGCTGGAGAGATGGCTCAATGGGTAAGAGCATTTGCTCTACAAGCCTGAGGACCTGAGTTCAAACCTCCAGCTTCCACATAGAAAGCCAGGTATGGCTCTATGCATGCCTATAACCCCAGCTCTGGGGAGAAAAGGATTGTTGAGGCTTGCTGGACTGCAGGTTCAGTGAGAGAGCCTGTCTTAAGGAAATAAGGCAGCGAGTGGTAGAGCAGGATATCCCATATCTTCCTCCAGTCTCCACGCACGCACACCCTCACACATGTGTGGACACTACACACATACCTCACAGACAGAGATAGACACAGACACATAGACAGACATACACATCACCTGAGAGGGGTGATGTGCCAATTTTCAGACTAGTCACAGGACAAACCTATCTGGACTCTGGTGGAAAGGTGGAGGTAGCAGTCACACCTCCAGGAAGGGTCCTGGCTGCCAGGCTCCAGGGCAAGGCAGACATAGACTCTCCATAGCTTACCTAGGGATGCCTTTCAGCCTGCTGTGGCCCTGCCGTCCTTTATCGAGGAGCTTCCCATTAGGCTGCAGTGCACCCACAAGTACAAAAGGGGCTGTAAAGACCAAAGAGGGCCAGAAGGAGAGGACAGTCAATGAAACAGCAAAGGGCTCAAGGAGGTGACAGGAGGGATCTCTCCAGATGTCCTGGACTGGAACCTGGTGTCTAGGAACAACTGCTGGGAAAGTTGGTTAGGAGGCTGGCCATGATGGGTGAAGAAGCCCTGGATAAAGAAAGAGTCCAGGGGCTGGAGAGATGGCTCAACGGTTAAGAGCACTGACTGCTCTTGCAGAGGACCAGGGTTTGATTCCCAGCACCCACATGGCGGCTACAAACAGTCCTTAACTCCAGTTCCAGGGGAATCCGAAGCCCTCTTCTGACCTCCGTGGCATTGCATGACCTGGGTGCACTCACATACATGCAGGCAATATACTCATACACATAAAAAAATAAAAATAAAAATAAAAGAGTCCAAGGCATGGGGCTGGAGAAATGGCTCAGCTGTTAAGAACACTGGTTGTTCTTGCAGAAGACTCGGGTTCGAATCCCAGCACCCACATAGCAACTAACACATGTCTGTAACTCCAGTCCCAGGGGATCCGACAGCCTCTTCTAACCTCCCTGGGCATTCCACAACACGGGTACACTTACCTACATGCAGGCAATACACACATACACATAAAATAAAAAAATAAAATTAAATTAAAAAATAAAGAGTCCAAGGCTGCCTTCCCTGAACAGAGGTTCCACCCAGTTCACCAGCAGCATCTATGGCTTTTTCCTCATTTTACTGAGACTTTGCTTATCTTTCCAAGAATAGCACACGGACTCTTCCAACTCACCCACCCAGCCAGGACCCCACGAATTCCACCGTTTTGCCAAGACTTATTGCTAATTAAGTGAACTAGGTAAGCATTAAATTAAACTAGCAGTGTTGCTGTTTCCCCTCCAGACTGAATAATTACTCATAATGGGCTTAGATAATAAGTCTCTGAGTAACAGAGTTAACCATAATTAGGCTGAAAATTGAAAGAGGGAGAGAGGGACAAGGAAAGAAAAAAAGGAGGAAGAGAGGGTGGGAAGGAGGAAGGGAGGAAGAAAGAGGGGAGGGAGAGAGGGGCGGAGGGAAGGAGATTGAGATAGGAGAGGGAGGTGGGGAAGTGTGTTCATCCTGTAATTGATTCGGCTCTATGGCCTTCCTAACTGAATCAATACGCTTTAGGTTCATTGAGAGACTCAGTCTCCAAAACACAAAGGAGGGGTTGGAAAGATGGCTCAGCAGTTAAGATTACTTGCTGCTCTTGCAGGGGACCCAGGTTCAGTTCCCAGCACCCAACAGCAGCTGACAACCATCCATAACTTCAGTTCCAGGGGCTCCGATGCCCTCTTCTGGCATTTGGGTACCATAAGTGTAATAGCAACATACTGGTTCTATTAGGGAAAACAGAGGCATGGAGTATTTTCCTACTGTCATTCCTCATCAAGTTAAGTACTGAATTAGTATACCTTTGGATTGTATTTTTTTTTCTTTTTTTTTTTTTTTTTTTTTATAAAAGGAAGAGTTTGTTGAGCGTGGTGGCGCACACCTTTAGACCCAGCACTTGGAAGGCAGAGGCACACGGATCTCTGTGAGTTCAAGACCAGCTTGGTCTACATAGTGAGTTCCAGACCACCTGGGGCTACAGGGAGACAGTCTCAAAAAGACCAAAAAAAAAAAAAAAAGAGTTCATTTAGGTTACAGTTCCAAAGGGGCAAAAGTCCATCATGGCAGGGAGGCCTGGCAGCAGAGGTGGCCGGAGCAGAAGCTCAGTGCTCACATCTTCAAGCAAGCACAGGAAGCAAGAGAGTGGTTCAAAATCCAGCAAGGCTTAAGAACTCTCTAAACCTGCCTCCAGGGATGCGCTATGTGGAGCAGGTTGGCCTCAATCTCACAGATCCACCTGCTGCCTCTGAAGTGCTGGGACTAAAGGTGTACGCCACCACACCCAGCTCCCATCTTATCTTTAATTAAAAATTTTTTTATTTTTATTTTATGTGTATGAGTATATTGCCTGCATGTAGGAAGGTGCATCCATGTCATGAAATGTCTGTGGAGGTCAGAAGAGGGTGTTGGATTCCCCTGGAACTGGAGTTATGGATGGTTGTTAGCTACCATGTAGGTGCTGGGACTCAAACCCAGGTCCTCTGTAAAAGCAGTCAGTACTCTTAACTACCGAGCCATTTCTCCAGGCCCCCACCTTACTTTTTAAATATTTATTTATTTATTTATTTATTTATTTATTTATTTAGGTCTTTTTGAGACAGGGTCTCCCTGTAGCCCCAGCTGGCCTGGAACTCACTATGTAGACCAGGCTGGCCTTGAACTCACAGAGATTCGCCTGCCTCTGCTTCCCGAGTGCTGGGATTAAAGGCATGCGCTACCACGCCCAGCCCAGATTTACTTTATTTTTGGTCTTTTTGAGACAGGGTTTCCCTGTAGTCCCAGCTGTCCTGGAACTCACTATGTAGACCAGGCTGGCCTTGAACTTGTAGAGATCTGCCTGCCTCTGCCTCCCAAGTGCTGGGATTAAAGGCATGCGCCACCATGCCCAGCTTAGATTTACTTAAATTATGTGTACATCTGTGTACATATACATGAGTGCATGTGACCATAGAGGCCAGAAGAGGATGTTAGACCTCCTGAAGCTGAAGTTACAGGCAGTTGTGAGCAGCCAGACATGGGTACTGGGAACCAATCTCAGATCCCCCACAACACTATTAGCTGCTGAGCCATCTCTCCAGCCCCAGCATTTCGTCTTTACCCACTGGGAGCCAGGAGCAGATCCCCTCAGTTACAGAATGTATCTCTAGATATTGCCAGATGCTCCCTCAGTGGGATACATGACTGGCTGTGATTCACGGGGACAATGAGTGAGGAGCCAGTCCCATGGGGATTAAGGGAGAACAGTCCAGTTGAGAGGGGTCAAACAGCTTTGCACAGAGGGACTTGAAACCTGGAAGGGCATGAAGAGCTGGAACATGGGTCCTTACACTAATCCAGGCATTTGTAATATGAGTCTAGAAAGCAGGTTCTCCAAAGGACTCTGAATGTCCCAACCCTCCACACAGCTCAGCTCAGTGAAAGAAATACGGTATAGCACAAAGATGCTTTTGGCTTTTGTTTTGTTTTTTAAGACAGGGTCTTAATATGTAGCCAAGACTGGCCTCCACTCACCAGCCTCCAGAGGGCTAGGATTATAGGTGTGCACCACCATACCCAGTTGTATAACAGAGGCTGAGAACTTACAGGGTTCAGATGTGGATTTTCCTCTGAGCCTGGGAACCAGGTCCTGCACATTTAATCTTTCCTTGAATTGGCACCACACCTGCACCACAGGGAAGCTGGCTAAACTGAAGATTATTGGGCCCCATCCATCTCAGAGCTCTAAGACTCCAGGTCACTTCGCAGCTTGCTCAAGTTTGATCTTTTTTTTCTTTTTTTTTAGATAAACAACTGTCTCCTGTAGCTCCAGATAGGAACTTGCTATGTAGACCAGGTTGGCCTCTATCTCACAGAGATCCACCTGTCTCTGCCTCCAGTGTGCTGGGATTAAAGGTGTGTGCCAGAATGTTGGTTTGCTCAGGTTTGAAACCTACTACACTCAGCCAGACAGCAGCCCTGGACGGTCCTTTAGGGCCATCTCTGCTTTTTAACCATTGCTAGTCATGACTTGGTATGGTCACCAGATGAAGTCTTAAAGAGAGCACCCATGTCCGGAAGAAATCCATGTAATTCCTCTAGTTGAAGGCAGGGACAGTGACTCTGTGGCTCAGCTTTGCCTGGAGCTCACACACAGTCATCAGCTCAGTCAAGTCTCCATGGTAACACAGAAGTAATGCAGCCCACAGGGAAGGCTGTATTCAAAGTGAAGCCAATGGTCTCGGTAAACTCGACTTGCTTTGTCTGAACCCCCAAGCCTAGAGCCTCCTGCCTCAATAGGCCTTGTGTATACCAGGTGGGAGGACTGTCTCAGTCCTCTGTCAACAGACACAGTCCCCAAACACCATCCAGGGTCTAGTATTTGGCGTCATGCTCAAGCATGTCTCCTAAGAGAAGGCATTTGTGCCACACAAAGAGCCCTCAGCCCTAGATGACAGCAGCCCTCAGGGATGATTTTCCTGCTGGAACCTGGGAAGGTAGAGAGCAGGGTAGAGGCACTGAGGGTGGACTATGATATTCTCTATAAACAATGGTACATCTTACAGTAGGTCTTGTTTGAATGGCTATAATTAGCTATCTCTTTTTCTTGGAGATACTGGTCTTCATGTACATTATCTGGTTAATCATGAGAACCCCTAACAGACAACTTATCACCCCCATTTTGGCAGGTGAGAAGACTTAGGTTGGTCAACTGTTTCCCAAGAGGTACTAAGTGGTAGTGACAGTTAATTTTATGGGTTTACTTGGTGAGGCTACGGTGCCCAGCTATTTGATGGAACAGCTAGTCTAGATGTTACTGTGAAGGTTTTTTCCAGATGTGATTATGTCTTAGAAGTGTGACTTCAAGAAAAGCAGGTGAGTGGGCCCCATTCAACCAGCTAAAGGCCTTAAGAGCAAACATTTAAAGTTTTTCCAGAGAAGGAATTTTGCCTCCAGGCTGCAACAAAGAAATTACCCAAGTTTCTGGGTTGCTGGCCTACCCTATGAAGTTCAGACTTAACTGTATCTTTGGTCTGCTGTCATGTTGCCTACAAATTTTGGGCTTGCCAGCTTCCACAGTCATGTGAACCAATTCCTTGAAGAAAATCTATCACTGGTTTGTCTCTGGAGAGTGCTGAGGCAGGGATGGACGCAGGTTAAGCCTCACACACTCCACTGCCCAGGTAAGCCCAGCTCTAGCTCAGAGGACAGGACTCAGATCCCTGGTCTTGTTGCCAGCCTGAGTATTTCCTGTTAAAATGTCTCTCATAGGTATATGTATTTGAACATTGGCCCCAGCTGGTGGCATTGTCTTGAGGTTGTAGAACCTTTGGGAGGTGGGACCTAGCTGGAGGAAGTGAGGCCTTGGAGGCTGGCCTTGAGGTTTTATAGCCTGGCCCTACTTCCTGTCCCATCTGTGCTTTCTGCTCTGTGGAGATGTGAACAAGTAGCCTCATACTCCTGCTGCCACCACCCACAGCTGTTGCTGTTCCCCAACATGCCTTCCTCACTGTACACGTTCGCACTAGGAGCTGAAATAAATCTTTCTTTTTTCAGGTTGCTTTATCAGGTATTTTTCATAGTGATGAGAAAACTCATAAACCTCTCAATCTCTCCTACTTCTCATCCCGAGGAGATTCTCACTGGGGTTGACTGGTAAGAGAGAAGGAAGGGCTAGCCTGAGGAAAGACATCAAGGCAAAGAATGCAGAGATCAAGGAGAAGAGGTGACATATTTATTGCAGGACACCTGGTTCTGGGAAGGGACTGGGCTGGCTCTGAGGCCCCATAGGAGATGCTCTTCACAAGCTCCCAGCCCAGAACTGACAGATACAATAACTTGAAATCCAAACGAGTTGCACAGAAATACAGAGGCTGGCAAAGGAGAAAAAAATAAACCTCAACAAATGAACATGCAGGTTCCTATGCTAACTGATAAAGTGGCATCTCCTCCACACCCAGCTCTTGCTTTATTCAGCTTCCAGGAGACTTTCATTTGCCCTGAAAGGTCTTATTACCTTCGATTCCAACTCAGCAGCATGCAGCTGTCCACCTGGAAGTCCTTACCATGGTCTCTTGGGATAAGCAAACGAGTCAAGAAAACCAAGATGGGAGGCAGGTGTGGTGATACACACCTGTAATTCCAGTACTCGGGAGGCTGAGGCAGGAAGATCAGGAATTCAAGGCCAGCCGAGGCCAGCCTCAACTACATGAGACCCTGTCTCAAGAAAACAAAAGAAAACCAAAACCCCCTATATAAACCAAAAGAAAAGGAAAAAAAGGAAGAAATAAAGAAAATCAAGATGCATTCTTTTCTAAGACAAACCAGAAATTCCCTTCTGTGTATTTTGCACCTTCCAGGTCTGATGTGTGAACAGTGTGTCCCCTGAAAACAAACCAACTGGAAGAACATGCTAAGCATAAGCTGAGAGTCAGAGTAAAAACATATTGCACATGGTAACAGTCTTCCTGAGTCCTTGCACTGTAGATCCCAGACACTGGCTTTCGTTCCAGCAATCCCTTGTCTGTTCATGCTGGTGTTGTAGACCATGGACATCTCCACTCTCCAAGCAAAGGAGCATTAAGCAAATATTCCACAGTTTCGCTAGTGGCCAAACTGAAACCTGGGTTGGTTTAACCCAAGCACTGTATGGTGGAGGGAAGTGGAGGCTGTTTTGTTTCCAACCTCTGTCTTCATTTCAACAACATTCCCCAGGGGGTATAGGAGGCAGTGATCAAAGTTCAACAGGTGAACACAAGGAGCTGAGAGCCTTCAAGGTGTTCTTCCTAACCACAGGCTTCTGAAAAGGAACTCTGTTGTTTTCCTCTGGTTGATCACAAGCTGGGTTAATAAAAGGTATAGTCTCACATAGAACAGACAGTGTGGTATTCAAACTTTTTTCTCCTAAGGAATTTTCAAGTATCACAAAATCCCTGACACAGTATGTAAACAAGATGTTTTGTGGAACAGAAAGCTAGATCACTTTGGAAAGCAGCAGCATGTGACATATCTAAAAGGATGATAAAGGTTTTACGTTCAGAAACAAAGGAGAGACAACCACCGTGCCTCATGGGGTCAGTGCTCAGGCATAAACAAAGACATGGCCCCTCTGTGTGGAGCCAGGGAGAGAAAGGCACCAGGATGGGTCTTCCAGGGACACGAATGATGACACACCAGGATGCACTTTCATTTTCAGTTGTGTGGCTGCAAACAGTAGCTTTTGAGGATAAACCTGAATGTCCTAGGTCTGCATGTAGTCGCCAGTCTCCTGGCCTCTTAACGAGTCTGTTGTGTTTTACTTGACCTCAGCTTGAGGGAAGGGCCAGGGAGCCATCTCTGAGCCTGCAGCACACATGGAAGAGGTTTCTCAGAGAGGAAAGTTCTCGGCTGAGGCATGTCCCTGATGTTTTGCTCTGGGACGGTTTTATTTAGAAAGAGCATGAAACTTCTCCATTTAGGGACACCAGGCTCTTCACCTTACCTGGCTGAATAGTCCTCTTAGGTGTTTGCTTCATCTACCTGGGTCTCTCAGGCCTCTCCATATGGTCCAAAGCTGGCCTAGCTGTCAAAACAACCAGCAGGGAACATGGTGCTCCCACGGATGTAGCTGTGTCTGTAGGTGGCAGCAAGGCAGTGCCTGGGTTCAGCTGCAATGGCCATCTGCATGCTAAGGGACCCAGGGACTGGAACAGGACACATATCCAAAGGCTGCAGGGTGGAGTATGGGGTGTGGAGGGATGGGCCAGTGTCCCCTGAGAACAGGGTCCCTGAGTGATGAGCCTGCAGCGAATCCCGATAGGCCAAACACAAGTCTTGCACGGGACTCTGGAACTGGGCTAGTGTTGTTGGAGGTGGCTGGCTGAGGGGAGGGTAGGCAGGTGGCTGGAACAGCACTTGAGTGGGAGTTGGGGATGTGCCAGGCACCATGGCCAATGCCTGGCTCTTGACTGCTACAGCATCTTTGAGGACATTGTCATATGCTCTGAAAGGAAAAGATTCAGGTGAGACTTGGAGACCGGAAATCAGAGATCACCAGATACCTGAGTGTCCTTTACCTCTTCTTCGATAAGGGGAACTGGGAGAGGCCAGCGTGGTGCTATGGCCAGGCTGTGATGGCTGTGTACAACACAGACTCAGGTACTCACAGATTAGACTCAGGTCTCAGGCCTCAGTTTGAAGCCGCTTCCAATATAAAACCTCTCTGATGCCATGCAAGACCAGGTTGTCCCTGTAGCCCTTGCACCAACCTCAGAAGACAACTTGGGTCCCATCTGCTTTTGTTCACCCCTGCATTCCCTGGTACAGTGGGGTGCTCTAGGTGTGTGAATAAGCACAGAGAACCATCTGTACCTTCTAGGTCCTCCTGAGCTAGTTCTATCCCTAGCTGAATGAATCATTAGTTAGCAGATACCAAGCAAATTGCCTACTGGGGTCTGAAAGACTTTGCCTGAAAAGAAGGACACAATGGTTTTTTTTTTGTTTTTTTTTTTTTTTTTTTTGGGCCAGGGTCCCCCTATAGCCCCAGCTGTCCTGGACCTCACTTTGTAGACCAGGCTGGCCTTGAACTCACAGAGATCTGCCTGCCTCTGCCTCCCAAGTGCTGGAACTAAAGGTGTGCATCACCACACCTGGCTAATGGTTTTTGTTTTTTTTTTGTGTGGGGGTTTTTTTCTTTTTTGGGCCAGGGTCCCCCTATAGCCCCAGCTGTCCTGGACCTCACTTTGTAGACCAGGCTGGCCTTGAACTCACAGAGATCTGCCTGCCTCTGCCTCCCAAGTGCTGGGACTAAAGGTGTGCATCACCACACCTGGCTAATGGTTTTTGTTTTTGTTTCGCAATCTCAAACAAATAAAAAAATACTATTTGAAAAAGCAAAAGCCATTAGAGGTGGGGCCAAAGGAGTCTGCAGGGACATCTCAAGAGTGACAACCATCAGTTACACACAGGGCTGGTGGCTGAAGACTGGGGTACCCACCAGCACTCAGGCCAGGCTGTGTTCTGACTAGGTACTTCTGAAACTGCACAGTTTAAGACAAGGCCTAGGGACTGATGTCTCAGAGCAAAACTAAGGCAGCACTAGCAAAACTGCTTACACTGGGAAGCTGAGAGGCAGCTCTTCAGGGGCTGAAGGGCTTCCATTCCCGCCACCCAGGCCAGCATTTAGCATCACTATCTGCTAGTGGAAGAGGGAGTTGATTGGGGGTTGCCATTCAAGGATTGTTCTGTCCTGTCTGCCCTCCTCCTGGCAGCCTCTAGGGACCACTTTTGGCTCCAAATATTTGTTTTACTGTGTTGGATCCAAGATGATCTTTGAGGGCAGGCAGGATCACTCAGTGGGTAAAAATGCTTGCTGCACAAGCCTGATAATTTGAGTTCCACATAAAAGTGGAAGGAAAGAGCCAACTCCACAAAGTCGACAACCACATGCATGCTGTGCTACTACCTGCATGCCCACACGCACATAACACACACATCACCCCACACGTCACCACCCCCCAAGCTAACAATAACAATAAAACACCCCCAAACAGCAATAAAAATAAACAAGATGACCCTTAAAAGAAGGCTTAGGAGAAGCCTCACTGGGCTTGGATACCTAAGTGGTCAAGTTTGCAGGCATGTCTGAAAAAAGGAGCTTCTGAGAAGGTGAGTTTGTGATTATGCACACTGACACTGCACATGAAGAGCTGGAACAGGATGGAGCTCAGTTGGCAGAGTGCTTGTCTAGCATTCATGAAGTGCTGGATTTGATCTCTAGCACTGTACACACTGAGTGTGGTGCCACATACCTGTAATACCAGCACTCAGGAGCTCAAAGTGGGAGAATTGCAAGTTCAAGGACATCCTTGGCTATAGAGTGAGATGCAGGCCAGCCTGGGCCGCCATACATGAGACTCTGTCTCAATAACAAAACAAAATAATAGAATGAGCCCAGACATATAGGAGCAGGTGCACCTAGCCTCCACATCTCACTCCGATCTTAACAATACAAACAAAAAACTTCCCCAAAGAGCAACAACCAACCCCCTAAGCCCCACTTCTTCCTCATTTTTTTTTTTTTCAGAGTCTCACTATTCCAGGCTGGGTTCCAACTTTCAGTTCTTCCTAAATTCTGGGATTATAGGTGTCACTACCATGCTCTGCTTTCCAAGCCTCACTGTGTCAGGAGTCACTCTGCCTCCTTCATACGCAACTCCTTAGCTGATATTAGGAACCACCGCCTGTCCCGGTCTCAGGAAATCCTTCTGACCCACGCTGGGCCCCCAGGGCAAGTGGAATGCTACCGTATAGCATGATAATAAACAGCCAACTGGGAGAGAAACTTACACCAGCAGGATTTCGATACATGTGCTCAGATGCTCCAGGGAATAGCTAGAGACCCTCTGCAGGTCTCTGGTCCAGTAGGGAAAGAGCTGAAGGCATATCCTGGAGGCCCCCACACAGGCTGCAGCGACCACAGAAGGCTGGAATTTGTAGAATATATGATCTGAAAGAGAGTTGCAGAGGGTATTAATATTGGGAATTCTTCCCATGGAGCGTCCTGCCTGGCCTGAGAACCAGAAGACAGATGAATCAATTCAAAGGCTGCTCATTGCTGGCTTATAAACAGGATGAGAAATTAAAAGATGTCAGGTGCCACTGTTGGGTCTTAAGCATACTGGCTCTGTCTGTGGTTTCTGGCATCACCCTAGAGAGGTTATTTTTCAAAATGCTTTCTGTGGCTCCCACCAGGCTATGAGCAGCTGTGAACAGAACCATAAAACGTTTATCTTTTTTTGGTTATTATTACTGACAAATAGAGTCTGACTAAAGGGTACTTACGGTTAGCAGCAATCTCTGGCCCACAGAAGGCACTCAGAAAAAATATCTGCTGAATGACTGAATAAATGAATGGCTCTGAGAGTTTGATATTTGTAATCACATCTAGGTTTATGGAGACATTTTTTATTTTAAAATTATATATTTAGTGTGTGAGCACGTGTGTACCATGTGAGCACATGGAGATCGGAGGACAACTTGTAAGAGTCAAATTCTCCACTTCTACCTTGTGGGACCAGGGACCGAACTTAGCACCTTTACATACTGAACCATTTCACTGGCCCAAGAAACCTTATGTCTGTTAAGTCAGTTGACGATATGGCTGATGGGCACAGCTGACAATTCTGGAATCCTCATGAATGACACTTAGGGTCCAGAGCATTACTATCTGTCATCAATTGCTCATAATTTTCAATTACTTCCATTTTTGCCTTTGAAAGTATCAGTCAGTCAGGATGGTACAGTTACAGGCAGAGTCATAGAGTGAAATTTCCAAGCACAAATCCTAGCAATGACTTCGGGGAAGTGGTTTCACTTTGTGAGTACCAATTTCCTCATTTACAAGATGGGAATAACTGAAATGACTTCGAATGGGCTCATCATGAAGTTCAAATTAGGTAATAAATACCAAGTTCTAGAGCAGACATCCTACACACAGTAGGTGCTCAATGACCGCTTGGCATCCAAAATCACTGATACTGCTACTCAGGGCTATTTTGTTTTGTAGTGGGTCACTGAGTATCTGTATCAATAGTATTTCTGACCTAACACCTAGAATTTAAGATATTGTTTTGGAGGGCCAGAGAGATGGTTCAGTGTTTAAGAGTACTTGCTGAGCAATCATGAGGACCACAGTTCAAATCCTAGCAATGATGTAACAAGCTAGGCATTTCGAAAATGCTTATAACCCAGCTCCAATGGGGGCAGAGACAGGAGGATCTCTGCGGTTCATGTAAGCATGAAGACCTGAATTCGAAGCAGCCTATCTTGATCATCGGGCCCCAGGTCCCAATGAGAGAGCCTTTCTCCAAAAGTAAGGTAGATGGCTCCTAAGGTTGATCTTGGGCTTCCACTTGCACACCTGCATACATGTGCACACATGAAAACACACACACACACACAAAAACCCTATTTGGGTGAGCTTGTATGAGAGAATGTTTTATGAGTTTCTGTTTGTTTCTGAATTTTTCTTGAGTGTACGCTCCTGTGTGTGTTCAGGTGCAACAAGTGCCCTCCTGTATCACTTTCTATTTTTCTGTCTTTTTGAGACAGGTCTCTCTGTAGCCCCAGCTGGCCTGGAACTCACCATGACCTGGAACTCACTATGTAGATTACAGTGGCCTCAAATTCACAAAGATCCACCTGCCTCTGCCTCCCAAGTGCTGGGATTAAAGGCATGTACCAACATGCCCAGCCCCTCCTGCATCACTTTCTACCTATTCCTCTGAGGAAGAGGCTCTCCTTAAACCTGGAGCTTCTTGGAGCAGAAAGCACTTTACTAAGTGAGTTATCTCTCCAGTCTGAAACAGAATTAACTTATTGCTAAAGCAGATGTAAACATTGTCTCTCCCCTACCCATCTTACCTGTGTGAAGACAGATCTGTGGGAACAAGCTACTTGTAAGTCTATGTATTATACATTATCTGCAAAGTTCCAGGTTTCTATATGAGGAGTTCCCAGACAAGCAAGTCTCTAGGTATGAGTGGCCTCTATGTAAGTTATTTATTTATAATTATTCCAGCATACTGGGTGCAGCCTTACATTTCTTTGCAAAGTAGGAACGATACTGGTGTGGGGGCCCTAGGCATGAATGGAGACCCTCTCTGGATGACATGCCCTTGGAGCCACCTGATCCCAGTGCCTGCTCTCCTGTCCTCTCCCCACTGTCTCTGTGCCCTCACCTTGCAGGGTAACTTCCAGGAAGTAGTGGGCATACTCCTTGAGGCACTCTTTGGTCTTCCGGAGGCAGGTGATGGGCCAGGTGTGGCAGTGGTTGTCCTTCTGGCTGACAGAGGCCAAGAGGTAGTAGTCCAAAAAGTGGACTGGTGTGGGCAGGCAGAGGTCCCAGCTGAAGGCCTCCAGCAGCAGCAGCTCTGTGTTCAGCAGCTCCTCCTTGGTGAGAGAGAAGTTCTGACTGCTCAGGATCCTTGTACTGTTTATCTGCTCCAATTTGGGCACACGGTCTTCCCTATCTTCAAATTTACCTAAGGGGAGGCAGAAGCAGAAGTTACTAGAGAATTTACCTTGCACCCAGGACACTAAAGTCTTTGACACCTGGATAGTGTTGTCAAAGAGGGAAGACGGGAAGAGGCAGGCTGGACTACAGAGGAACAAATGCACACATGTGGATCTTGAATCCCCAAGCCATCACTTCCTGCTGTGGGATCATAGGTGTCTTAAACTCTCTGCGGCTCACTTCCTCAACTGCAAGGGGAACTGATGTTTAATAATATTGGCTTTAGTTTGAGGCTATGAGGAAATGCACACCAATGCTCAGATAGTCGCCTAGATGGTTAAAGGTGATGGAGGGTAGTCAGGAGCAGCCTTGGGGCTCTAGGGGAAGTTCCCACACCAATCCAGGCAGAACCAGAATAGCTTTGAAAATCTGACCTTGTCCTTCCAGATGTGAAAGAGCCTATCCACAGACCCCCAATGCCCTCTATGAACCTCACATTCTAACTATATTTGCTTTAGTTTGGGTTGCCTGGGAAACAGGTTGCTTGGAAGGAGAATACAGAAAAGACTGGTAAGCTGGGGGTGGAAACAGAAGGGAAGAAAGCCCAAAAGGAATCACTAGCAAGTTGCCACTGTGGACTACTGGAGCTTAACCATTTATGAAGAGATTCTGAGAAATGGTAAAGCACAGGTCTCAGGCCTCATGTTATCCTCTCGAGTGTCAAGAACAGAGGGGCTCCTCCTGCATTGAAGGTCAAGACCTAGGAGTTATTAGGGGACACGATAGCCCCATTTTGTGAGCCTCTACAAGATGGAGGCTCTCCAGCCTCAGCACTCCTCTCTGGGGACATCACCACCTCACATCAGGCCATGGACTCCATCACTGGCAGTGTTTTGAAAGCACTATGTCCTCCTGGACTTAGCTACATAGTTCTGCTACCTGGAATGCCCTTCCCATTCCTCTTTACTCAGCCAACCTTGACATGCTCTTCACCTTCCTAGTTACTACCTTGAGGAAGCCTTCAAGGACTCCCCTGTCAGATGCTGAACCCCTTGGAGGGCCTGGCTCCAGTCTAGTCACCTGTGATCTCTAAACCGAGGCTCACACGGTGCAGAGCACCTGCTGAGCAAATGTCAGCAGAGGCACTGGTGGCCCCGTGGACTTCACAGGGAACAAAGCCTTCCCACACCTGCTCACAACAGCAGCCTCTCCTGCCTCCCTGGCAAGGCTGCTCTATAGGCACCACTCATCCTGGATGTGAGAATGTCACTGCAAAGTGAAACGGGCTCTAGGTAGCTCTGGGTCTGTCTCCTTAGGAAGCGTGGCTTGACACAGTCAGGAGCAAAGGGGGGGGGCGCGAGTGGAAACAACTCCCACCAGGTGCTGAGGCTGTGGCTGCAATGGTGTTGTCTGCATGACTGTGTCCATGGGGGTAAGCTCAAGGTCGAAGCTGTTTAAGGGGAAGAACCTCTTCCATGACTGCGGTCCAGGCCCCAATGGTGTCTGCAGCCTCACATCCTCCCTCCTCAACAGCAGGAATCAGCCATGTAGACCCTCCTCTGGCTGTGGGTGTTCTTTAATGCTCCTACCCACTGTGGGTTCTCCAGAGTTTAGTTCAGAGGTCACAAAGTGTCACTGTAACACATCTCACATGTATATTACCTGGTGTCAATATTAACATGAATCACTGATGCCCAAATGAATGAATAGGTAGCTATTTCTGGCTACTGGAATTTTGGATCATTTGAATTTTTCTCCGGTCATTTTGTATTCCCTATATTTTCTTCAATGATCATATATTTATTTAACCCAAGTTTGTAATTAGAATTTTTTGATTGATTTGTTTTTATTTTATGTGTATGAGTGTTTTGCCAGCATGTATGTAAGTGCATCAATGTCTGTGGAGGCCAGGCAAGGGCGTCATATCTACCTTGGCACTGGAGTTTCTGATGGTTGTCAGCCACCACGTGGGTGCTAGGAACTGAACCCAGGTCCTCTGCAAGAGCAGCCTGGGCTTCTAACCACTGACCTAGCTCTCTAGTTCCGAGTTTTTAACTTTTTAAAAAAGGACTATTACTAATTTTAATTATGTGTGTGTCTCTCTGTGCATGTGTGGGTACATGCATGAGTGCAAGTGTCTGTCAAGGCCAGGCGAGGGCACTGCATCCCTTGGAAGCAGAGTTGCAGGTGTTTGTGAGCTACCCGACATAGGTGCTGGGAACTCAACCTGGGTGCTCTGCAAGAATAGCACATGTTTTTTAACTGCTGAGCCATCATCCCTCCAGCCCTTCTTTTCTTTTTCCAAAGGCAAGTTTATTTGGAACATCACAAGAATGCAACAGGCAAGAACAGTATACATGGCTGTCTACCCAATGGCCGTATACTTTAAAAGCCAGCAAAAAAATTATTTCCCCAAATTGCTCAGCCTTCCCTGATCCTATGCTGAACTGAGCCAAGCTTGGTCACACATACTCAATAGATATGAAGTCCGCTGCTCTCCCCTTTGGTGCTGGGAATTGGGCACAGGGCCTCCCACAAACAAGGCAAACAGGCATTCTACCACTGAGTCACACCCTAGGGCTCCAACCCCCCCAGCAGAAAGTGTCAGGGTTAAGTTCCCACCCATGGTAGAACCATGCACTGTACTGGGGGTGGCCCTGAGACCTGGAGCTGCATGGCTGGCAGTCAGCCATCTGTCAGGAGGCACCAGTTGATGCACTCAATCAGATTACTTTCCTCTGCCCCACTCCCCGCATTTCAAACGTTTCAGACCGCTGCTACCAGGTCCCAGGGGATTAACCCCCAAAGGAGGGGTCAGGGCTTACTGAGAAAGAATCTTATTTTCCTGGCTTCCTCCACTTCCCATGCATGCTGGAGAGGCCTCTCAGGGACCTTCCACACTGCAGGCTACAGTAGGGCAGGGCTGGGCCTGAATCCTCAATGAGTTTGCTCTGGACACCTAGTGCACAAAATTCTTCAGGCTATTCATTTATGACTAGGAATACACCTCAGGTGAAAAGAAAATGTTCCCACAGGCCAGAAAGTACTTCACCAGTGCCCAGCACAAGGAATGGACTGTGCCTCACTATGGCTGTGAGGTGGGTCCTCACAGGAGCCCTAGAATCCCCAAGGCTCTGAGGAAAAGCTCATGCGAGACTCGGTCTCTATCTCCAGAAGCGGCTTTGGACTCCCTGCTCCTCTTTGCTGGCCACAACAGTTCCAGCTTACACACTGTTTCCCAACATGACATTTCACAGCCAGAAAAGGTTTTATGAATTTCCTAGGGTTGTTCGTGCCCAGCAGACATTTCCTCCCCCCTTCCATGGCCTTGAGTGGTCTGGCCCTTTGTCCCCAGTGCTGCTACCACCACCATTATTTAGCTGCTTCCTCCTTATCGACAAACTGCACAGACAACAGATGCCTGTGAGTCTTCAGGGGTGTCTCTGGGGAGAGGCCAGGAACACAAGTGGGAGTCTTTGCAAGTCAGACAATAGCCAGTCTCTCCTCAGTTCTCCCGTGCACTTTTAAAAACAAAATTTACTTAGTTTACTTTGTGTGTGTGCGTGCGTGCCACACCTAAGCCTATGTATGTGCACCAGGTCTATGTCTGAGCCATGAAGTGCATGTCGGCGGCTGTGAGCTGCCAAGGGGGTGCTGGGAACTGAACCTGGGTCTTCTGGAAGAGCAGCCAGTGCTTGTGCTCTTACTGCTGAGCCATCTCTGTAGCCCCCATGGGCTACATTTTCGAAGTCTTCAATTCCACAGAAATAATGAAAGACAAGAACAACACACATCTCTGGTCCTCCACCCAGACTGCTGGGCTGCAGCTGCTATGCCACATTTATCCTGTTTCTGTGCGTTGTATGGAAAGACTGACTGCTGGACCATTTCTTAAGTTACTGATGTGACATGGCACCCTGAGCACTCAGGCATCTACTCTTGAGGATGTTTTTCTACACATCCTAAGATGTTAACAACAGCAAAGACAGAGCCATTAATGCAGTAACATAGTCTGTTATTTTGTTTGTTTTTGAGACAGGGTGTCATGTAGCCCATGATGGCCTCAAATTCACTATGTAGCTGATGGTGGACTTGAACTTCTGGTCCTCCTGCCTCTACCTCCCAAGTGCTGGGATTACAAGCATGCATGAAATAACACAAGTTAATATTCAGTGCATATCTGACTTGCTCCAGAGGTTCTAAAAATGCATTTAATACCCTTTTTTGTTTTGGATTCAGGAGTCAAATGTGGCTCACATATGGAGTCTAATATTTCTGCAGTCCTGTTTCTTAGTGTGTTTTTTGGGACACCAAGTCTTTAGAAAAATGCGAGTCTAGCTCACTTTTAAAATGTGCCCCATTCTGGATTGGCCAGATTTTTTTCCTTGTAATTAGGTACAGCTTGAACAGTGGATAGAACTACAGAGGCGAAGCTTGGTCGTCCTTGCTGGGTTATACTGGGATTTACAGACATAGTCAATGTGTCCCAGCAACAGAAAAGCCAGGTTGTATTGGTTGGCTGAAGTGGGGACTGGGATCTCGCTATTCTTAAGGTCGTCCCCTTCCCTGTCAGATTCACAAGTAACCTATGAAGTTGAGGTGACACCCTGACCTTTGTCTCACTGGCTTGGCATCCACAGACAATGCTTTCCTGAATAAATGACTACACTGGGGCTGAAAAGGATATTTGGAAAAATGCTATCATTCCATCTGCATTTTTCTTTTTGGTGTTTTTCATTGTCCCAAATCCAAACAGTTAAGAGTCCTCTTAATACATTTCTAAGATTAAAAACAATCATGAGCCTGCAAAAACTCACAGCAGGGCTCAGAGGCTGGTGCTCAAACACTTAAGCTTTATGTTGCTGGTGGGGAGATGTGTAAGCATAATACCTCCTGTGTCGCACCTGCACACCTGGCTGGCTGAGTGGTAATTCCAAGGATGGTGTGCAAAGAGCTGGACTATTCATGGGAGGTCATGGCTACTGAGGAATAAGGGCCAACTAATTACTAGAATTCCAGTCAAGTGGC